GGTTTTGGGGCTTTCGGGTTTAGGGTTGAGGGTTTTCGGATTTTAGGGTTTAAGGATTTAAGCTTTGGGGTTGTAGGCTTAGGGCCTGCGGGGCACCCTAAACCCTAAACCCTAAATCCTAAATCCTAAACCCTAAACCCTAAACCCTAAATCCTAAATCCTAAACCCTAAACCCTAAACAGGTTTAACATTTTGGAGCTTAGACTTCTAGCGTTTAGCCGTGGTTTTTCGGGGTTTCAGGGTTCCAAGAAGCCCTTCGGGCTCTAAAGCAAAGTCTCGAAGCCGTCACTGCAGTTCTTGGGGCCTCCGGGTATGCGGTATAGGGGTGGAGGTTTTGGGAGTTTGGGTTTAGGCTGCAGGGTATTTTAGGGTTCAGGCTTTCGGAGTAGGGTTTGAGGGCTCGAAAAGCCACTTCAGGTCCTGGTGGAGTCAGAGCTGACACACCCCAGCAGCCCTACGGCTTTAATTGTCTGGTGAGAAGGTTTTCGGGTGTGGGGTGTAGGGTTTAGTGGTTTAGGGTTTAGGGTTTAGACAGTGAAGGCTATGTGGCAGCTTTCGCAACGGAAGCTGGCTTGCGATGTTGGTTTGGTGGAAGTAGTAGTTGTTGATAAGCGGGGCCACTGGGACCGGCTGCGTCGGAGTTTGCAGGAGATCGTTTTGGGGTTCGTTGACTTGGGGCAGTCGGGTAGAAGACCTAAACCCTAAACCCTAAACCCTAAACCCTAAACCCTAAACCCTAAACCCTAAGACCCTAAACCCTAAGACTGAGGACCTTGAGCAAAGCGCTCCTGAAAGCAAGCTGCTCCCGAAAGACCAGGGTCTAAACCCAAACCCCTGAACCAAAACCCTAAACCCTAAGCCCAAAGCCCTAAACCCTAAGCCCTAAACTCTAAACCCTAAACCCTCAACCCCTGAACCAAAGCCCTAAACCCTAAGCCCTAAGCCCTAAGCCCTAAACTCTAAACCTTAAACTCTAAACCCTCAACCCTAAACCCTAAACTCTAAACCCTAAACTCTGAACCCTAAACCCTAAACCCAAAACCCAAAACCCAAAACCCAAAACAAAATCGAAAGCGCGAAACCCAGGAGCTCCGACGCGGGGAAGAGCTCAGGGCAGAGGCCCTGGCGTCCAAAGAGGCGCCATCGGCTGCGCTCGGGTTTGGGGTTTAGAGTTCAAGGTTTAGGGTTCAGGGTTTAGGGTTTAGGGTTTAGGGTTTAGAGTTCAAGGTTTAGGGTTCAGGGTTTAGGGTTTATATATGGTTACCCTAGAACCCTGAACCCCAAAACCCCCTCTGAACCGTGAAGCCCTGAATCAGGCGTCAGTCAGGGCATGGGAAGCGGGGCGGCTCAAGGACGCTCCGCAGGGTTGCCGGTGTAGGGTTTCGGGTTTAGGGTTTGGGGTTTTAGGGTTTAGGGTTTCGGGTTTGAGGTTCAGGGTTTTAGGGTTTGGGGTGTAGGGTTGTCTTTTCGGAGTTTGGAGCATAGAGTTGGATTTGAGGGTTTCGGATTTTAGGTCTGAAGACGCTTGAAGTCGGAGTTTGGGGGGTTTAGGGTTTCGGGTTTAGCAGGATTGAGAGATACTTGGTTGTCATGATGGTCGCCACGTGGAGGCGCCCAGGATCCAGATGCCGGGTTACCACCTGGACAGTAAGAGACGCCAATACAGTAACCCAGATAAACAGATAGACAGACAGGCAGATAGGTAGATAGATAAATAGTTACAAACCGTTAGCAACGGTAACCTGTACATAGAGCCCTTGTAGTTTTTTTAACTCTTACAGAACCCTAACCCTTGTACTCTAGACTCTGAACCTTCTATGCAGTAATATCGGGGACGGGAGAATTTGTAGTAGCATCCCCTTCTTTGTTGCTAACCAACTTATAGTACAGTATACCCCCCAAGTCCTATTCTAATCATTCAGGCCCCTATAGTAGTCCTTGATTTGAAGGACTCTAAAAGGGACCCTCATTTAGAAAGCTACCCACATCTTAATACCGGGGGTTCAGGCTGAGGGTTTAGGGTTTTGGATATGTCGTCCTTTGTTGTTTAGGGTCTTTACCTTCGATTACCTTTTAGTTTCAGAGTTGTTTTGGGTTTGGGTCATAGGGTTGTTGTTTCAGGTTTTAGGTTTCAGGTTCCAGCCTACACGCCGGAGCTGGGGACTGGCCCACCACGCTAGACCCCCGAGCCCCAGATATAGAATTTAGCGTGAAGAAAGGTTGAGGTGAGGGTTTGGTTTGGGTCTATAAGGATGTTGGGTTTCTGTGCAGGATCTGCCAAAGTTGCAGATGGAGCTGCGCGAGCAATTCAAGTCCGAGGCAGGTTCAACCTGTTTCACGAACCCGAGACCCAAACCTCAGACCCTGACACTCCCAAAACCCCTAACCCCGGCACCAGCAGTGTGGAATCCTTAGGGCTATAAAGCGCTGATGAGACCCGGTTCAGCTTTGCTGGCGTGGGGTTCAGGATTTCGGGTTTGGGGCTTACGGGTCAGGCTCAGGGACAGCGGGCTCGTGGAGCTTACGAGGATGCTTGGATGGGGCCTCCGCATGCGGGTTGGGGCCGTTTTGCTGAGTATGATAGGGGTGGCAGACTTCTAAACTTGTCATGGTGGTAGTGGTACGGGGTGATTCGAGAGCGAGCAGCAACAGAAGCCCTCATGGCAACAACAGCAGCAGCAAAGCATAACAACAACTACACCTGCGACTACGACTGCGACTACCACTGCGACTACCACTGCGACTGCGACGACGACTACTACAGCTGCAACTACGGGTACGACTACGATCATGACCAGGACCACGACTACCGCAATACGACTTCGGTTTTCATTAGGGCACCGCTACCACTAGATCTACTACTGCGAGAAAGCCCTCAAGTAAAAGCAGCAGTATGAATGGTGCTGTGATTATGAATGGTGCTGCGAGCAGTCGCCGTAAACCATAAGCTCGCCCCAAAATCAGAATTCTGCAGACAGCTCAGACAATAGGGGGCCTTAATGCAGACCCGCAGAGTAGGCTTTCTCGTATGAGGGTCCTTAGCATCAGAAACTCTGCCAGTTTCTGCAATAAAGTCAATCTCCCCACCCCTGAATCGTCGAGGCGAAAGCGCACCACCGGGAGCTTCAACAGCAGGCCACGGAGACTGGCTTCACGGTTTTAAGCTGCGGATTTCGGGTTTAGGCTAAGCGCGTGACAATGGCAAAGCGGTCGAGTTTGAGGTCTAGTAAACCCAAACCCCGAAGCATCGAAGCATGGGTTGGTTTTGAGTTCGAGGACCAGTGACCAGGCTCAAGCGCCTGGTTTTTGGCGGGTTTATGCACAGCAATGCTCCGCTTGTACATAGAGCCAGGGCTTTGGTGGTAAACCCTGGATCCGTTTGTACGCTGTGGGAGGGAATATCGTACGCTTATATTCTTGGTGTACGGTATTCTTCTGGCATACAGGTATACAGTTACTCAGAACGCTGAATACAGCATGCCTCCACTACACTCGTGGAGCGCCGGCTTCGAAGCTCCTTACCTTACGGTAGGTTCGAATCATCAGGTGTCGCTGCCGATGTCGTTTGGATTACCTGCGAAATCCTGAAACTTAGTCATAGATTTGACCAGCACGACAATCTCATGGATGATGGTGCCCTCAGCCCCTAAGCCGGAAAAGCCTACCCTGAGTGATGACAAACCCTAAACCTAAACCTTGAAACCCTAAACCCTAAACCCTCAAGCCTAAACCCTAAACCCTAAACCCTGAAACCCTAAACCCTGAAACCCTAAACCCTGAAACCCTACAACCCTAACCCCTACGATGATGACGGGGATCATGCCGCCCAGGCGAGCAGAAGGCTCGCAACTGCCGAGCGGCGCTTCCACGAAGAGGTCCTTTGGGAGGGCTTCAGCTTTACTGCGAGAGTTCCGCTGTGTCATGAGGGCATCGATTTGGGTTTAGGGTTTAGGGTTTCGGGTTTAGGGCTTAGGGTTTCGGGTTTAGGTTTTAGGGTTTGGGGTTCATGGGTACCAGTAATTATTGTCCTTCCTACGAAAAGCTGGATGGGACAGCAGCAGAAGCTGCTGACATCAGCAAGATTGCAACATGGAAGTAAAGACCACCGTCATTGGTGGTGGAATTACCATCGTCATGACCGTCAAGTTCATCGACGTCCCTGCCATAATCATAACCAGCATCATCGTCCTGGTCATAGTCACCACCAGCTTGCCGCACAATGTGTCGCCGTCACCATCGACATTTTATTGACCACGCCAGGGCATGGCATGAGTGCATGACATTCATCAGAACCATCATAGCCCTGGCCCTCGCCACAAAAGCAGCAACCACAGCCACAATCCTGGTGACGCCAGGTGCACGACTTGGAATCGGAGCTGAATCAGGCCCCTATGATTCTACAATCCGAGCCACTTCTCGGGCTGCATCGGGAGCGGCACGGCCTGGAAGCGCCATGCAACGCCTAGACTACGCAATGATGTTTTCGTTTTTGCTTATACCCGTTTCGCCATGGTGAAGCAGTTTGTCAGTTCTGTCTCCGGGACCTACAAACATCCTCCAACTCTGAACCCTTGAACACATACAAGCCGGGGCTATCCAGTCAGGCGAGATATGAGAACGCACTGATGGGGCGGAAGTGCCACGGCAGCTATCAGGCGGGCGTGGTGCAACAACTGGGTGACGACATATTTGTTCATGCGCTTTCCGTCGGCACCTTGTGCAAGACCTCATGAAATCCGCTAGGCATCCAGCGAACATGTAAGAAGCCAAGCATGCCCGCAGCGAAGAATCGGGTGATGCAGCTAGCAAGCACGCGAAAGAAATGTGTATTGAAAACTCCTCCATTTATGCAAGGATTGTTCGCTGGCGGTGGCTACGCATGCAGATTAGAAAACATCCTCCAGCTGTATTCGTTTCAGCCAGAATAGCATCTCAAAAAAAATCGCTGTTGACCCATGTAGCGCATCTGATTTTTCAGCCTTGGATAGTGCGACGGTCATTCGGCTCAACTGTCGGCAGCAGGTGACTGCACAGGCAGAGGCGGCGCTGCACCAGGCCCACCAACAGATGAACGTGATGAATCAGGATCGTCATGCCCTGGAGCGTTGACAGGAGGGAATCGCTTCCGTCACAGAAGGATGACGAAACCCAACCGGAATGACCATCGTACTACCTAAACTGAAATCCCACATGCACACCCCAACGCCCTGTGCCCCACACGATATCGAACCCACCACCGGAGTTTTGTAATTGCTGGTATGGCTACCACAACTAGCCGATGGATAGTTGTTTGTGAGGTGATTACTACTGACTCAAGCCAGAAACCCAAGACCCAAAATATTGGAGTTTCATAAAATAAGGGACCCTGGTATAGGACCCTAAGTAGTAGAATCCTTATTATAAGGACCCCAGAATAAGGTACCCTAGTTTTCTGAAATTCCCAATATTGAACCCCAAGCCATAAGGAGTAACCCGAAACCCGAAACCCTGAAGGGCACACTCGCGGTGGAGTGGGTCGAGAGTGCGCCTGGAGAAAGACCACTGCTCTTCAAAAAAACCCAAAACCCAAAACCCTAAACCTTAAACCCCCAAAAGCTTAAACCCTAAACCCCAAACCCTAAACCCTAAACCCAAAACCCAAAACCCTAAACCCTAAGCCCAAGACCATAACCCTAAACCCTAAACCCAAAACCCTAAACCCAAAACCCAAAACCCAAAACCCAAAACCCTAAACCCAAAACCCTAAACCCTAAACCCTAAATACAATAAACCCTAAAAAAACGCAAAGCAGTGAACCAGGAGCTGACTTTCCTTCGTGCGGAGCATGCTCGGGTTCAGGAGGAACCTCTTTTTAAGGATGATGGGACGAAGCAGCTTGTAAGGGTTTAGGGTTTAGGGT